ATCTCTCAACATTCCCTGTAATTTTTTTAATCCATGTGTGGAATGAATTTGTTATGTGCACCAATATCTATATAATGTGCAGATGTGCCCCACTGGTAGAAACAAAAAACCTAAGTATAATACATATATTTTTAAAAGTTTACCATAGGAGTAATTACTCTAGCCAGGTACTGATTAGGCATTTTAGAACTCACTGCTCAAAGAATTACATTTAAGCATAAATGAGTAATAAAATTATAAAATGGATAAACCAGTCAAAAAACAAAAATAATCACACTTTGAAAGAATAAAATTACAGAGATTATATTTCCACTGCAGGAAGTACAAAGAAGTAACAACAATAACACAAGTATGTGTTGGGAGGTGAATGTGAAAGAGACTGTGTATGAGAGAGAGAGAGGCTGTGTGTGTATGTGTGTGGGTAGAGAGAGAGAGAGAGAGAGACTGTGTGTATGTACACATTTGAGCAAGAGAGGCAAAGATAGTATGAGTGTAAGACCAAGACAGCATGCATATATGGTCACTGCTAGCAAAACATATGACTGACCGTGAACTGTATCTTTAAGCACAACAGCACCCACCAAAAGAGTCAATCAGACCACAGCAGTTCTGTTCTGCTCCTGGGCCCTCAGTGCCTGACCTGACATCAGTGTCCTTCCTCCCCTCTGCCCCTTGCTCTGCAGAGCAAGCAGGAGGGTCCTAGGAACTGCTCTAATGCAGAGGGCAGAAGCAATATTATATTATAATATGGATATTAGGGAAAACTGTTTTACTTGAAGCGTGGTAAAGCACTGGAATGGGTTACCTAGGGAGGCGGTGGAATCTCCATCCCTAGAGGTTTTTAAGACACACCTTGACAAAGCGTTTATTGCGATGAGTAGTTGGGATTGGTCCTGCTTTTTTCAGGAGTTGGACTTGATGACCTCCTGAGGTGTCTTCCAACCCTATGATTCCACAGATTTCTTCTTGAGTCCCTTGTCTTCCACTGTCAGTTTTCTACAATTCTTCATTTCTTACTTATAGCCATTACTGTCAGCTTCCCCTTTCTTCCTTTTGTTGTATATTATATTTTTATTTTTACAGCTTCTTTCACTTCCCCTCAAAACCAGGTTGTTGTTTTTTTAAACCAGCACTTCCTTCTTCTTCAAATATGGGATTGTGGCATTTTGGACATCTAGTAAAGGGTTCATAAATGGTTCCCAGTTATCATTCATATAAGTTTATCTTGCTTGCACATTATAATTCTGATCAAGACTTGAAACTAGCATTAACTTTCATTTCTGTCATCAGCCTTTCTTGTATCTGTTAGGACAAGGTCTAATGTAGAATTCCCCTGTGTTAGCTGAAACACTTTTTGAGTTCAGATATTGTGATCTGTAATGTTTAGAAATTTCAACCATATTTTAGTATGGACAGCATGAAATCCCTAGTATGTCCCTGGCATTAAAGTTCCCTATTTTTTCCTACCCATTATAGATAGGTGTGTTAGGAGGCAGTCATCCTGTTCCCTGAGTAATTTGGGGGTCTGTAGCAAACACTAAGTAGTACCCTCATGTGGTACGCACAGTTTCAGGCTGAATGCTTGGGGATGGATGAAGTTAGAGATGGGCTGAAAATTGGGTTCATAATGAGAAGCTAGTCCCTCTCAGTAATAACGTATTCCACAAAAGCAATATAAAAGCAGTCATGGCATAGTCATAGAAGATTTGATTAAAATTCTGAAAAAGCATTAACATTACTAATCCTGGAGCAAATCACGTTTGCACATAAATCTATGGGTGTTTTGCTACTGACAGGAAGAGAAGGGTTGTGTGCCCCTGACCTTTATACCTTTTCTTTGTATAACATAGCTCTTACTTCAATGTTTGTGTGACTTTGAGTGTTGCATCAGTTAAAAGTTCAAGACTAGTGTACTATAGGCTGTACATTACATAAAGCCATGCTGGCATGATGTAATGGTGATGCAGTCCACTTTTATTTTTTGTCATTTAATGAAGCAAATGTTTTCATTGTAGGTCGAGATCAGAGAATCTCAAAATACTCTTGAATTATTGGTATACTTTGGAAAGGTTCAGCTACAAGATGTTTTCTTATACCAGCTAACACTGTGGTTCTCAATTGGTGGTCCATGGACCACTGGTGGTCCATGGTGTCTTTTTCGGTGGTCCACAGGAACATTGTCCAAAGTCACATGACGTGAGCAGGCGCCATCTTTAGGCTGTTTTACGCTGTGTTCACAAGCATGTGGCGTGTTATCCATAGTGTCACCTAGGACGCAACTGCATTATGTTGCCAGTAACTTCCGTCTGAGGCTCTGAGCGTCAGTGTAGCTGCTGTCATCGTGCTGTGCGGTTTTTACATCATTCGTCCTGTGCTACATGTGCTGTTTTACAGGTGTGGTGTAGTTTGTTTATAATGGCAATGACAGGAAGAAATGTCAAGCACAAGTATTCGGAGGACTACATCAAATTCGGCTTCACTTGTCAAAAAAAAGAAGGCGTGGATTTACCACAGCTTTCTTAGCCAGAACATCTTAAAAGATCTAAAAATCAAAAAGGAATCTTACAAAGAGTAGAAACTAGATCAAGTTACAAAGCATGATACAAACAATAGCAACAATATGGAGGGGCAATTTAGAAAGGCCAAGGCAGAAACTGAACTTAAATTAAGACATAAAGGGTAACAAGATAATATTCTATGAATATATTAGAAGTAGGAGAATGACCAAAGACAGTGTACAACCATTACTCACTAAAGAGGGAAAAACAATAACAGCAAAAGAGATGGTGCGGCTTGTTCTTAATGAGAAAGCAGCAAGGAAGCTGAATGATATATCGGTCTCTAATGACACAGTATCGAGACGGATAAACGAGATATCACAGAACATCAGTGAACAAGTTGTGGATGAAATAAAGAAGTCTCCATTGTTTGCCATACAATTGAATGAATCAACCAACGTCGCATTGTGCTCTTAGCTATTGGTGTTCGCACGATACATGGTTGAGGGAGGCTTCAAAGACGAGTTTCTTTTTTGTAAGACTCTTGATACCACCACAAAGACGCAGGATGTGATGGAAATTGTTAACAATTTCTTTGAAGTACATGGTCTGGATTGGGTAAATCTTGTGGGTGTCACCCCTGATGGTGCACCTGCCATGCTGAGCTCAAGATTAGGCTTCCAACGCTGGTGAAACAGCGTGCTCCAATGGTAACCGGAGTTAATTGCTTCATTCATAGGGAAGCTTTGGTGTCAAAAACATTGCCCGATCAACTGAATGCCATTTTCAAAGGGTTGGTGAAAGTGGTGAACCACATCAAATCATCGGCTGTAAACACCAGGCTGTTGAAAAGATTTTGCCTGGACATGGGTTCCGACTTTGGTGTGTTGCTGTTCTACACTACTGTACAGTGGTTGTCAGCAGGGAACATACTCAACAGAGTTTTTCAATTGAGAGAGGAGTTGGATTTATTTCTCCAGGCTCAAGGAAAAGAGGAATTCCGAAATGTGCTGACACAGTCAAATTTAGAATTTGTGTACCTTGTCGATATTTTTGGAATCTTGAATAAACTGAATCTTCAGCTGCAAGGGAAAGGTGCAAATCTGTTCTCTCACCAAAGTTTTTCTCAAGGCTTTTCTTGACAAATTGGAACTCTGAATCGTAAGCATCAAAGGCAATAATTTGGTTCAATTTCCATATGTGGATGCCATGCTCGGGGAAAAGGAAGCCATTCAGACACAAATTCTCAATCATTTACGGAAGCTATGAGACGAATTCCAACGATACTTTCCGGAGGTGGACAGGACAAGGGATGGATTATCTTTCATCAGGAATCCATTTACAACAGATGTTAATAGTGTTCCAGAGGATCTGCAGGAGGAATTCTTGGATCTGAAAAATGATTTTGCGGCTTAAGATGTGTACCAGCAGTCTACCATAGAGAAATTTTGGGCCAGTGTGATGGGGAGTTACCCAAATCTGTCAGCATACACAGTCAAATTTCTTTTGCCATTTGCATCAACTTATATGTGTGAGACTGGATTTTCGTGTTTGTTGCATGTTAAGTCCAAACATAGGAATCGGCTTGCAGTGGAAAGCAATATTCATTGTCCATTATCAAGTACCACTCCAAACATTGAAAAGCTTGTCAGTGAGAAGAGAATCCAAAAATCTGTTAGTAAAAAATAAATTTCAAACCAAAATGTTCGTTGTCTGCTCTTTTTTATCATGTCTCAAAAAGGAGGTGGTCCATGAAAATTTTTTGATTGGCCTGGTGGTCCGTAGACTGAAATGAGTTGAGAACCACTGAGCTAACACAATATGGCTGTGTCTACATTGGCATCCCTTTCCGGAAAAGGGATGCTAATGTGACACTTCGGAATTGCAAATCCGCGGGGGATTTAAATATCCCCCGCGGCATTTGCATTTACATGGCTGCCGTTTTTTTACGGCTTGGGGATAAGCTGGAGAAAAGCGCCAGTCTAGACGTGATTCTCTGGAAAATAAGCCCTTTTCCGGAGGGGAGGATTTCTTATTCCTACTTGAAAGTAGGAATAAGAAATCCTCCGGAAAAGGGCTTATTTTCCGGAGAATCACGTCTAGACTGGTGCATTTCTCCGGCTTATCCCCAAGCCAGAAAAAAGCGGCAGCCATGTAAATGCAAATGCCGCAGGGGATATTTAAATCCCCTGCGGATTTGCAATTCCGACTTGTCACATTAGCATTCCTTTTCCGGAAAGGGATGCCAATGTAGACATAGCCTACATGTATGGAGAAGTTTAGCTATGGCCACACAGAGACTGGAAGACATATTCAAGAATTTAAAAAGTAACATTATTCCTTTGAAAGAAAATTAAGACATAGCCAACAACAAATCCCGTGTCCACATAAAAAAGAAAATGGACCAGAACCCCGGCTAAAGTAAATCAACATTACTCCACTAAAGTTTAAGGAGTTTTGCAATTTACATCAGTTGAAGAGCTGTACAATTCATAGCTCAGATTAGAATGTTGCCCTTTTAAACTCATTGTGACAAGGAATTTATTGCTAAAGACTCCAAATCAGTCAGTACATATGGTACTGAATGTGTTGTAATACCTAGGTCTTACCAGGTGAACTAAGGATGGGATTTCATTGCTTTTAACCATTTAAGTGTGAACTCTAGGTAGTTTAATATGGATTTGTCAATTGTGTGTGGCTTGTAAATAATAGCATATTCTGAATATGTTTTGTAGAATTTATAAACTTCTTTGGTCAGGGACTATGTCTTCCCTTATGTCATAGGGTACGTCTAGACTACATGCCTCTGTCGCCAGAGGCATGTAGATTAGGCTACCAGGCATAGGAAAATGAAGCGGTGATTTAAATAATCGCCGCTTCATTTAAATTTACATGGCTGCCGCGCTGAGCCGATCAGCTGTTTGTTGGCTCAGCGAATTTATAAACTTCTTTGGTCAGGGACTATGTCTTCCCTTATGTCATAGGGTACGTCTAGACTACATGCCTCTGTCGCCAGAGGCATGTAGATTAGGCTACCAGGCATAGGAAAATGAAGCGGTGATTTAAATAATCGCCGCTTCATTTAAATTTACATGGCTGCCGCGCTGAGCCGATCAGCTGTTTGTTGGCTCAGCGTGGGAACTCCTAGGTTCCAGTCCCAATCCCTTACGGTACACATTAAATGACTAAACCATGCTGCTTTACTGCATCCTCCGCATGAAGCTGGGATCCCAGGAGGCATACCTGGGTGGTCGACAAATGCCTTTGATGTCGACACCCGCGCGTCCAGACTACCGCGCTGAGCCGACAAACAGCTGATCGGCTCAGCGTGGCAGCCATGTAAATTTAAATGAAGCGGCGATTATTTAAATCGCCGCTTCATCTTCCTATGCCTGGTAGCCTAATCTACATACCTCTGGCGACAGAGGCATGTAGTCCAGATGTACCCTTATATAATTCCAGCTACTCTGAAGGAACTTAAATTATTAATAAAAAGGTAACACTGCTGAAAATCTCAGATGTGCATTGAGTATTACATCAAATCCTTTGTTACTGGCTAAAGACATAGTTATAAATTGAAATTTAGTGTTGTGTATTTGTGCATATTTTATTGTGGAGTTATCTACATTTAAAAAGGAGACAGTACCAATAGAAGGAATAGTCCTTGATCTGTTTTTATCATTAAGGGACTCTTTAGGTGAGATGTCTGTATCTGCAGCAACTATGCAGTTATCCAAACTCCTAACTTTAACAACAAATTCTCAGTCTTGCTCTCATGTAAATCCAATATATTACCACAACAAAAATGTTTTTAGAATAATAACCGTACTTTTAGGCAGGGAATGTAAATGCTTAACAAGCTTATGAGTCTTGTGTTCTTGTAAGATCTAAGCTTACAAAATCCCTGTGATAAGAGGGCAATTCATTTCAATGCTAAGGCTGGCCAGAAACCATTTCGTCCAGTCAGTTTTTGGAAAGGAAGGCCAGGAAAGAATTTGGATGATTATTAAGATAATTTTAGGAAACATTTTTAACTGAATAGAACAAACCATTCCATAGAAAAAAATATATTCACATCTCAAAAAATTGTGAAGGAAATTGAATGGAGGATCACTAAGAAGTAGGAATGCATTCCTAGAAGTGGTTCTGGGGATTTATTATATGTGTTGTCTTTCTTCTGTATCATTATTGTATCAATGCCCTTTTGGTTAGGTGACACTGAATCAAAAGCAAAGCAGTTAAGGGATACTCTATAGCAATGTGCACAGCTTGACCTTCTCCTCACAAACAGGAAGGAACTAATAGGGGACGTAGAGGTGGGTGACAACCTGGGAAACAGTGATCATGAGATGGTAGATTTCAGGATCCTGACCAAAGGAAGAAAAGAGAGTAGTAAAATACACACCTTGGACTTCAAAAAAGCAGATTTTGACTCCCTCAGAGATCTGATGGAAAGAATCCCCTGGGATGTTAACATGAAGGGGAAAGGAGTCCAGGACAGCTGGCAGTATTTTAAAGAAGCCTTATTGAAGGCACAGAAAGAAACCATCCCGACACGTAGCAAGAGAGGCAAACCTGGTAGGAGACCGGATTGGCTTACAGGGGAAATCCTTGGTGTACTTAAGCACAAAAAGGAAGCTTACAGAAAGTGGAAACTTGGACAAATGACTAGGGAGGAGCTTAAATGTATAGTTCGAGAATGCCGGGGGGTTATCAGGAAGGCGAAAGCGCAAATGGAGTTGCGACTGGCTAAGGATGTGAAGGATAACAAGAAAGGTTTCTACAGGCATGTCAACAAAAAGAAGGTGATCAGAGAGGGTGTGCAGTCCCTAATGGATGCAGGAGGTAACCTAGTGACAGAGGATGTGGGGAAAGCTGAAGTACTCAATGCTTTCTTTGCCTCTGTATTCACGGACAAGGTCGGCTCCTGGACTCCTGTGCTAAGCGACGCAAGATGGGAAGAAGATGGACAGCCCTTGGTGGGTAAAGAACAGGTTAGGAACTATTTAGAAAAACTAAACGTACACAAATCCATGGGTCCAGACTTAATGCACCCAAGGGTACTGAAGGAGTTGGCAAATGTCATTGAGGAGCCTTTGGCCATTATCTTTGAAAAGTCGTGGAGATCGGGCGAAATCCCGGATGATTGGAAAAAGGCAAATGTAGTGCCCATCTTCAAAAAAGGGAAGAAGGACGATCCAGGGAACTATAGGCCGGTCAGTCTTACCTCGGTTCCTGGAAAAATCATGGAAGGGATCCTAAAGGAATCCATTTTGAGACACTTGAATGAGAGGAAAGTGATCAGGAATAGTCAGCATGGATTCACAAAGGGCAAGTCGTGCTTGACCAATCTGATTAGCTTCTATGATGAGGTAACTGGCTCAGTGGACATGGGAAAGTCAGTGGATGTTATATACCTTGACTTTAGCAAGGCTTTTGATACGGTCTCCCACAATATTCTTGCCAGCAAGTTAAGGGAATGCGGATTGGATAAATGGACGGTAAGATGGATAGAAAGATGGCTAGAAGGCCGGGCCCAGCGGGTAGTGATCAACGGTTCGATGTCAGGATGGAGGTCGGTTTCTAGTGGAGTGCCCCAAGGTTCGGTTCTAGGACCGGTTTTGTTCAATATCTTTATTAATGACCTGGATGAGGGGATAGATTGCACCCTCAGCAAGTTTGCAGATGACACTAAGCTAGGGGGAGAGGTAGATACGCTTAAGGGCAGAGATAGGGTCCAGAGTGACTTAGACAAATTGGAGGATTGGGCCACTAGAAATCTCATGAGATTCAACAAAGACAAGTGTAGAGTCCTGCACTTGGGACGGAAGAATCCCAAGCATAGTTACAGGCTGGGGACCAACCAGTTAAGTAGTAGTTCTGCAGAAAAGGACCTGGGGGTTACAGTGGATGAGAAGCTAGATATGAGTCAACAGTGTGCCCTTGTAGCCAAGAAGGCTAATGGCATATTAGGATGCATTAAGAGGAGCATTGCCAGCAGATCCAGAGATGTCATTATTCCCCTTTATTCGGCTTTGGTGAGGCCACATCTGGAGTACTGTGTCCAGTTCTGGGCCCCCCACTACAAAAAGGATGCGGACGCATTGGAGAGGGTCCAGCGGAGGGCAACCAAAATGATTAGGGGTCTGGAGCATATGACCTACGAGGAGAGGCTGAGGGACTTGGGTCTGTTTAGTCTGCAGAAGCGAAGAGTGAGGGGGGACTTGATAGCAGCCTTCAACTTCCTGAAGGGAGGTTCCAAAGAGGATGGAGAGAGGCTGTTCTCAGTAGTGACAGATGGCAGAACAAGGAGCAATGGTCTCAAGTTGTGGTGGGAGAGGTCCAGATTGGATATTAGGAAAAACTATTTTACTAGGAGGGTAGTGAAGCATTGGAATGGGTTACCTAGGGAAGTAGTGGAGTCTCCATCCCTAGAGGTGTTTAAGTCTCGGCTTGACAAAGCCCTGGCCGGGTTGATTTAGATGGGATTGGTCCTGCCTAGAGCGGAGGGCTGGACTTGACGACCTTCTGAGGTCTCTTCCAGTTCTATGATTCTATGATAAGGGGATGGTTGGATGAAATAACATGATCAATGGAGGGATGATAGGAGTTGCTATAGGGAACTTTCTGGGTGTCTGGCTGGTGAGTCTTGCCCACATGCTCAGGGTTTAGCTGATCGCCATATTTGGGGTCAGGAAGGAATTTTCCTCCAGGGTAGATTGGCAGAGGCCCTGGAGGTTTTTCGCCTTCCTCTGTAGCATTGGGCACAGATCACAGCTGAAGGACTCTCTGCATGTTGGGGCCTTCAAAGTATTGGAAGGCTTCAATATCTGAGACATAGGTGAGAGGATTATTCTAAGAGGGGTGGGTGAGATTCTGTGGCCTGCACTGTGCAGGGGGTCAGACTAGATGATCATAATGGTCCCTTCTGGCCTTAAAGTCTATGAGTCTATGAGTCTATGAATGTTTCCCAATTTCATTTGGCCTCAGAATCCTTTTAAACTCAAAAGAATTTTGCAGAACCTCTAATAACTGTCTTATATATGGAGCTAAAAAAGTAGACCACAAATAAGGATAATAATAAACAAATGCTAAACAAGGTCATGATATGTAGATTAATCTATCATAGTCAATTTATATTTGTCACGGTTAAATTTTAAACACAAGAAATCACACGACTATATTGAAGTAAAGTATTCGTGAGAGCACTGCCTGTGCACTCACATACAAGCACCTGGTTTGACAGCTGAAGCTTTGACTTTGTCCAATGTGGTGCTAGTATATTCGTATTCAGTCACCCATGAGATCCACGCTCCCTGAGAGTGAGTACAGGGATTTATGGTGATACTGTATATAACAAGCGATCACACCACTGACTGACTGCGTGCACAGCACTGAGTAGTGATATCATTGTCCCTACTCCCTGGCTAAACTGGCATTACACAGGAACACTTATCATGGCAAACACAAGTGAAAATTGTTTTCAATAAAAATAATAAATGCTTAAATATTAATTATTATTTTTAAAAACCATGAAATGTTATTGTAATGGAATTTTCTCACTGAACCCTTCTTTTCACTTCGCAGAACCCCGGGGTTGCACGGAACACCATTTGGGAAACACTGCTCTGTGGTATGGATTACTGTCTTTTGGATAAAATGTAAAACAGGAGCTCTGACCACTGATTCCATGGCATTTTTGGCAAGATTAGATGTGTGAATGACATTCAGTGCTTTTGTGAAATTCCTGATCATGCAATTGAATTCTATGTTTAATTCCCACCCTAGCCATTTGTGCATGCAGTTCCCTCAAATGTACTTGCAGTTACTGCAATTGCATGCACAGTTTAGGCAAATAAACACACATTTGCTCTTGTAAAAGTATACACTCTGAAAATCTGGCTCTGTGTATTCAGCTGGCTACCTTGAAAACCCTAAATTTCTATGGGGTATTGTACTGGTAATTGATCAGGATAGTTTCCAAATCCTTTTCACACATTCTATCTTCAAAATAATTGTTAATCTTATCATTTTCTTACGATAATATAAATTCCCAAAGTAAAAATATATTCTTTGGTTAAGACTTGTTTGATTTGTTGCTCTGGAATAACAGTCCCATATCCTGAAAAGCCTGTTTTTTATAGGTGCTGATCATCCAGGATTCCAATTCCTCTGATGGTTCCTCTGATAATCCATCCCAAGATCTTCTTTTTATCTATAGCATAAGCAACATTGCCATCTCTTTTGATTTGATCACAAGATTATTTTACAATCTAACAATTTTTAAATAGCTGTCATGATTTTTGGGTCCTGACTTATGAATTATGAATGCTGGAGGTTGGCAATACTGAATAAATAAGTCAGTATAGGCAAAGGCTTCACATCTGACTTGTATGGACCACTTTGAGGAGTGAAAGAATAGTTCAGTCTCCACTCCCAATCACCCTGGTTTCTGTGATGTAACTGCCAACCAAGATGACAATCGTGGTAGTCTTATTTATGTGTGGTGTCAACCTTTGTCCACTAGTAACTAGACAGAGACCACCAACTCATATTACATAAGTGACTAAATAGTTATGAGCTACTATACTTTCAGTCACTGACTTGAAGATGAAAATAGACCATTTTTAGGTTTAGATACAATCTGGAACCAAAACCATAGGGACTGGTTCAGACCCTGGAAAGCGAGTCCCAAGGTCTTTGGAAATCCAAAACATTTCAGATTTGAGATTCTGTTTCTATATTTCATTTTTCGATTAACAGCTGTGGCTTCATGAAAACATTTGGCTACTGACATTAACATCCTGAAGGGAAATGCCCCATTAGTCTTTGTTTATGCTCTCAGCCTGACTTTCAGTTCTTGCAGCTTCCAGAGCAATGACCCGAAATAGGAACATTCAGAAAAGCATCAGTCTGGGTTTTAGAAGCACTGGTGCAGGGAGAATTTTATGAGACCTGATAAGATCACACCACATGGTTCCTGGTTTGATTTTAAAAATATTGTCACAAATCTCAGACCCTCAAAGACTCCACAGTTGTCACTAATCTGCACACCGTACACACTTACAACTTCACAGTGAGACTAGAAAGGTAGGTCAGAGATCATACTGCTCCAGAAACATAGGTTTCCGTCACTAAACTAAAAGAGGAGTCTCATTTAGATCTGCATCTGCTAATAGTTACCTTACCAGTTCGGCAATGAGAACAGGTGCTACAGAAAATGCTAAGGCGGATTAATGGGTAGCATTATAGCTGCACAGAGTTGAATCGTTCAAATTCCAACCAGCAGAGGGCAGTGGTACACATGCACAACAGCCATCACATTACAATAGATAAAATAACTAGGGGTATGTCTACACTACAGCACTAATTCCAACTAACTTAATTCGAATTAGTTACTTCGAACTAAGCTAATTCGAACTAGTGCATCTAGACCTAAAAATTAGTTCGAATTAGCATTTTGCTAATTTGAACTAGCATGTCCACATTGAGTGGACACTGAACCTAGGTTAAGGCTGGCTGGAAGCAGTGCCGGCAGGGCATCAGGTTAGGACTTAGAGCGTGGAGCTGCTGCCTCAGGCTAGCCGAGGGCTGTGCCTAAAGGGACCCGACCCCCACTCCGGACAGACAGTTCTCAGGGGTTCCCCGCTCACTTGTCTAACTCGATGAGGGACGGCAAAGCAGTCCTGGCTTGGAGTGCCCTGAATGCCCACACTCGGCACATCACAGCACTCGGCCATCAGCCCGGCTGCACTTGCCGCAGGCTGCCATCCGAGGGGAGGGCGGTCAATCGGGAGGCTGCAGGAGAGCTTCCACCCCGAGGAGCCCGCAGAGCCATCCCAGTCTTCCCCATTGGGGGCTCGTACCCCATTCCTCCCTCACCTCCTTCCACTTACCCCTCCTTAGCCCCCCTTCCTGATGTACAAAATAAAGGACACGTGTTCAAAAATAGAAACTTTCTTTATTGAACAAAACTCGGGGAGACTGGGAAAAGGAGGTGGGAGAGGGGAAGAGAGAGGGTGGGAGAAGGGAGGAGGAAACCTGGGAGGAGGGAGCTGGAAGGGGGAAGCCAGGGGAAGAAGGAGGAAAGGAAGTATCAAGCTATGGTATGCCATATCTTCAGTACTGTGTACAGATGTGATCTCCTCACCCCAGAAAAGATATTTTGGCCTTGGAAAAGGTTCAGAAAAGGGCAACTAAAATGATCAGGGGTTTGGAACAGGTCCCATATGAAGAGAGGCTAAAGAGACTGGGACTTTTCGGAGACTGAGGGGGGATATGATAGAGGTCTATAAAAGCATGAGTGGTGTGGTGAGGGTGCATAAAGAAAAGTTCTTCATAAGTTTCCATAATAGAAGGACTAGAGGACACCAAATGAAATGAATGGGTAGCAGACTTCAAACTAATAACAGAAAGTTCTTCTTCACAAAGCAAATAGTCAACCTGTGGAACTCCTTGCTGCAGGAG